TGTGAATTTGAATCACGATAGGATCACCTTTTTATCCTGCATGTACCTCTGGAACTTGGCATAAGCCATGCCTTCTTTCTTTGCAATCTCCCAAAAACGAGCTTCCCTGTAGTCATTGGTCAGCTTCTCCTCGTAGAAATCCTGACCAGTGGCTGAACTAATCCCAACTCCCAAAAACCTAAGATCCTCTAAGTGCCACGTCCTTGAGAAGTGCCACCCGCTGTGCGTCAGGTTTGGACGCTGGCATGGATGGAGACCACACCCACGCGAATCGAAAAAAAAAGTCAGCCCGCTGGGCCTGGGAGACCTTTCGATCCCTGCACTGTGTATTTGAGCAAAGGTCACCGGGACGCACATGAGTGAGATTCCAACATTGCAGCTTCAACTATCGAATCAAGATGTTTTTGACAAGTAAGTTTAGTCTAAAAAGTAGGGTGGCACCTGGTACTTGCTCACGAAGTTCCCACTTCTCTGGGCGATGGCCAAGGATGTACTTTCACCCCAAACACTTTATCCCAAGGTCCAGACGTTTCCGAAGAGCCCTTTGCATAGGGGCCAGTCGCGACCACCGGGCAAAAGTGTTGTGATCTTTGCATGATCAGATTATGTTGTTTGTTTCTATCCACATGATTGCAACAGTATCTTCATTGAATGTTGAACCACAGCTGGCCACGGAGATTGGTTAAACTTAGTCTTTACACAACGACGAAGTTTTACCTAGTAAAACTTAGCCATGGATAACGACGAAGTTAAACTTGGCCATTGAAGGTTAGGGTATATATATACACTTATTTGTTTATATGTATATATACTATATACGGTATGTGTTGGTTTTGTTTAACCATTCACCAGCAACCCTCGAATAAAAAGAGGTGAATTAAATCCAGGTGAAATGTCACGATTATGAGAACGTTGTATCAACAAATCCTGATTCATCCTATGGACCCCCTTTGACTCCGTTTCACGCCACACCACCCGGTGGAATCACGCCTGACTGCCGCCGCTCCCGTTCCAAGGATTCGAAGGACAAGCGCCTCACGAACCGGATGAAGCAGTGGTATTCTGTGGTAATGGCCAGCCATAAATGATAGAAGCGACGTCTGTGACGGTAAGACGGAAACCATCAAAGAATAGATGACCATGCGACCATGATGAGCCTACCATTGATTTTGATCACCTCAAAAATTATGTCACATGTAATGCTGTTTTAATGATTTGTATATATACATACCGTGCAACGGTCATCTCTTCAACCAAAGTTCGTGATCAGCCCGTAAAGCAAAGCTGGTAACCAACCCTCCATGGTGTCAGCTATATAGTTCCACTTGTACATGTGCGAGTGGTTCTGGGCGGTCAACCAACAATGGACAGGAGGGCTGGGCGAAAAGGTCTAAAACACAAGGGCAATACAAGTCGACTAGTTATGATTAGTTAAATCATTTTCGAACCGGTGTTCAACCCCGGTGTTCGTGCATGCATTAACAGCGGCATGGCCGAGCCTTCTTGGTCAGGTGGCCAAACAGGTTGACTAAGCAACGTTGCTTAGGCCTTCAATAATGCTGTTCCGCATGGAGCCCAAAGCTACTAAGTGTAGGTCAACGTCTTGTTCAATTTGCTATAGTTCCATGGCGTCCAGGAGGCTGTCTGTGATGCTGAACGCCCGCAATGAATACAGGTCATTCTTCCTCGCACCCAAAGTGGTGCACACAATGAATCAGCTACAAGAAAAGGCTGCCTGGCACGGAGAATGACAGTAATGCAACCCGTACAGAATGTGCAAAAAATCAATTCTGGGTGTAAGCTCTCTTCCTTTTCTGTCTGGGCCCTTTTACAAAGAAATGCTGCCCCAAAAAAGCAATGACGTCAAGATACTCCCAAAATAGGTCCCCTTAGAGATTCCAAGGCCCCTGATACTTATTATAGCAACCTCATCTACTAGGACCCTCCAAGAGGTCTCCTCTGGTGGCTTTTGCAGACTTAAAAGTCGCAGGTGGTGACCTGTTGGAGGGTGCTGGTGGAGGGGGTCTTTTTGGCGGCTCTTCGCCATTCTCCAAGCGCGTCTCCACGCACTGCGCTTGCGTGGAGCCCAGCCTCTCCCGCGCATGCTGCGACTCCAAAGCGCCCTGCGCCTCGGCGCAGCGCGTCCGGGCAGCCTCTGCTAGCAGGGCACGGTCCTCACAGAAATTGATGAAGAAGTTAGATAAGAACATGTGGAAGTTGTTGTATCAAGTTTGGGTCTATCCTAACAGTGGATGATGATGGGGCCTGGTTGCAGGCCTTGTCCAAAAATAGTGATTCCTTGTTTACTGGCTGTTGCAGGTAGTAGGACAAACCCAATGTATAAAAGTATATATATCATACAAATAGTTTATCTGTATTCAGTTCATCTTAAGTCCTCAGCTCGGCATTTTCTACAGCACTTTGTATCACTTTCTGGTGTAACCTGTACCACGGAGCACAAACGGAGCACGGTGTAGGTCCTTCCAGTGTGCCAACTCGACCTCCAACTGGGATGCCCTGAGCACCGCCAGGCGGAGAAAGCATGGAGAAGCTTGGAAAAAGACTGAGAAGTGTTTCTGGGTGCGTGATCCACAAAGGGTCTCCCTTTCGGAGATATGCCAAGAGCTCCGTTTGCTTCTCCCCGATATAAAACGTAGCAATTCCCATGGAGTGAGTTGCAATCCTTCTATCGGATAGGGGTGCCCTTGTCACCTCTTAGGGTGGATAGAGACCTGAGACTACCCCTAAGTAACCTCCTGGAGCAATCTATTTGCTGCGAGTGCTGGATCACATCAAAAACATTCGATTTGGACCCATCTCCTGGACCTGAGGCTGTGGTTGAGCAAGGCGCAAAGCACGTCCACAATCATAGACTGTGAACCGTGTGTTGAGACTCCAACACTCCCAACCACAGGCACAGTTCATAGGATTTCATAGGTCCTTGAAGGTGATGATCCTTCAATTCCAAGGTCAGTCCAGCCGTGGGGGAAAATACCATGGATGGAGTTCAAGGTGACTAGTTATTCCCAAAGCAGGTTGAAACACAACCTTGCATCTCATCCAACAAAAGTTGGCGTAGACTTCAAGAGTGGGTCTTTTTGGCTTCCACTCAGTGAGGCATGACACTTTTGGGTCGCAAAAACCAACCCCCCCCACACACACCCAAAAACAACAAAAACACCTCGTCTTCGTCTTCGTCCCTTCCAACTTTCCATCCTGGCCCCCTGTGCGTCCTTCCGGCTTAGCCGTCACCGGTCCTTCCATCGTCCGGCTTCGCCTCCGTGTCGCCCCGTCGGGTCGGTCGCGCCTGGCGAGGGCCTCCAGCGCCTGGGTCTGGTGCTGCTGCTCCGCGCGCCGGGCGTCGGCGAGCGCCGCCAGCGCCGAGCGCTGCTCCAAGCGCCAAGCCTCGGCCTTCGACCGGAAAACGAGAGGACCAGGCGCGTTTTTTGGTCGAAAACGAGACGAGTGGGTGATGTAGGAGCATGTAGGATGTGGATGAGCAGTGACTGAGAATTTATGGAGACGCTATGTTTTGATCTCGCTGATATTTTAAAGGAGATGGAGTTGGGCTCTGGTGCCGGAGTTCCAGCGTCCTTTCATCTCCATTCCCCACAAGGTGCCTGGTCCGCGAAAAGGCTCAGTTGCTCTTCGCAACCATTGTTGCTCCCGCTGCTCACCGGAAGACGGTTGATGGAAGCCTGAGATGTATGCGGGTGGCTGCAACAGGCACTTACAGCGGTGACATTCTTCATAAACGCACACGGCTTAGTGGACAGTGCGTTTGCTTCTTGTGGAAGACGGTATGGTCATGTCTACTATATATAGCTCCTTTGCTTTCAGCACATGCAATGCGTGTATTTGTTTCCCTGAGTGTGCCCCACAAGAAGTGCATAGCAACTATCCACCAATTATGTGGCTGGACTCTAGGCTTGGTATATGTCGAACTGTTCTGCAACTGTGAATTCTTGGTAGCTACATGTAGCTCCCATGTTGAGTCGAACGATTGAAACCAACAAAGGCTTTGGAGACTGGCTTTCCTTGGGCATATCCCATTCCCATTCCCCCAGTGGATGATGGGGCCTGGTTGGCCCTTCGACTGTTCCACCAGGTCATGGGACACCCGTCCACTGCACCGGATACAGGCTGGGCGCGACGCGATCAGGGACGATCCGGTCGGGTCAAGTGGACATACAGTACCCAAACACTCCATGGCACTGCCATATATGCATACATTGGGTTGGTTTGGGGGACTCATTGTAGGCATATATGGCAGTCCCATGGAGTGTCTGGGGTATCAATAGTCTGGGTGCCCGGCTGGACTACCCGTCCACTACTATCTTCGGGATTTCCATTGGAGACCATGGAGACCCCGGCCTGAAGGATTCCATGGACCCTGCTGGCACGACTCCAACCTTGGGGATTCACCAGTGGTGACGACACATGGATTCCTGTTTCGGGGGTCCATGTGGACTGCAGGAGGGTAGAGACCAACAGAGGTTGAACAACCCTATAGGCTATCCCATAGGTACCCTGGTAGGGTCCTATAAGGTCACTTAACCTCTGTTGGGAGTGAAGGGAGTGAAGAGATGTGAAGAGTGAGATGAGTGAAGTGTGTTCCGGTCTTTTGCGAAAATAGCTCCCCTCCGTTCGAGGACTCGAGCCTCCAATCAAACACCGGAACACTCAGCTTACGTACACTCAGCTTCCACATCGAAATGGATAGCATGGCCGCTGTCTGCTTGGCACGAAGCGATGTTCGGAACACCTGTGATTTGCGGGACTGTCGATGCGCGTTCATTTTCTCAGCGGTTCTGCGATCAGCGTCTCAGCGAGTCTTTCTGGAACTGGGCACCAGGGGGGGAGGAGGCCACTACAAAAATGCCAAACAGGCACGTATATGGATCGACGTCGTCGGTAGGTGGTCGGTACCGGCCCGGAACAGTGCCGTTCGTTGTGTCATTTGTGGCGATGATTTTCATAGTTGGAATCCCATTTTATCTCCCGGCTTCCGCACTGAGATTGGCCCCCCTCCTTTCGCCCCCTGTTGGTGTCGTTTCATCAAGTGACAGCACTAAACTATTGCGACATCACCGCCTTAGGCAGGTGAAGAGGTCGCATGAAACAATGGCACAAAGGCGCTGTGCATACAGCTGAGCTCAGAGTGGAATCCACTTGTACCTCAGGTCGCGATACATCAGCAACACTTGAAGAACCATCATTGAATCATGCTCCAGAAAAAAAAAAAAAAACATACTTATATTATCTTATATTAAAAGAACAACTATAGTCTTCCCTTGGTCAAATCAATAAAAAACAATAAGATCAGTAAGTAAACGATATATGAGTTTCTGGTCTGAGGTAGTGGTTCACCAATGTCAAATACTTTTGCTGGGTCTGGGAAAAGGAACCCTCCAGCAGAAATGTGTCGCTTCGCCTGTCAGGACTTTTGAGGGTACCTCCAAATCGCTCAAGGTCGGGCGCCAGATCAGTGTTTCAGCTTTTGAACAACACGGGTAGGCAGGGAAAAATACTGGATGACTGAGCAATCTACTGCTCACAGCTCAGGAGAGAAACATGCGGCTTGTTGTCCATGTCTACCAGTGTGTGTCTAGGTTCGTTGAAATGATGCAATGAAACGGCAGTTTGGGCACTTACGCTTCTGACCACCTCGTTGAGGAAATACCTCTAATTCATCTAATGCACCCTCAAATAGAGTGATCCCAAGGCAAGCCTATTCAGGATGCCCAAGTTCGGTGTGGAAATATGCCACGATCATCGGAGAATTCACCAGTTCTGTTCTTTTTGGATCACCGAGATCACACACGTTACAGATCTCGGTCAGCCAACTCTCCGATCTGAGGGCGGACTTGGGCCTAAGCAGGACTTGGTCCCAAGGGCGGACAACAAGTCAATGCTGAGGGATGGTCTCCATTTCGGTAGCATTGGGTCCTACTAGTATCAATTTGTTGGCATCATCCAAAGCTTCCCGACCCCTCTTCCAGGGTCTTCCCCACAAGGGGGCGGAAGACCGCCGCAAACGATCCTGCGGACCAGCGGCTCTTCTTCGAGCTGTTGTTGGACCTCCTCATCCAACCCTTCGGTGTTCAGCACCACACCTGAAAATCCACACGGACCGGCCACACCCTACGCTGCGTCTTGTGGGCGACAACAAACGTTTTTTCTTTGTTTCACCTTTGGACCGACGACCAAAAACCATGTGGAGGTGATATAGTGAAGGGGAAGACGGCACTCTGGAAGTGGTCAAACCCTGGTAATTAGGCCCCAGGGGTGTTTACCGGGCTACAAGTAAGAGTTCCGAGGTTTGAGTATTGCAACCAGCAATTTTGATGAAACAAAGGAACATGTGGATTCTATTGCCCGCGATGTTGCAAGCGCTATTGGCTGGGTATGGCTGGGTGCTCTTGTCTGCGCCAGTGGCATTGTCCACAATCAAGAGTCTCTCAGGCTAGAACATGCCTGATCCAAGTACGCATACATTTTGTCGGGAAATATTTATCTTTTCCTTATCCTCACCATTCATGCCCTTGATCATGCACCATTCCTGACATCTTTTCCTTATCCTCACCTTATCATGTATCATACATCTTCTCTCCTCTTCTCTCCTTGATCAATAGTCTATCATCTTTTCCTTATCCTCACCATTCCTCACCTCCCTCATTTGTCTATATTGAGCCAGGAAACCAAGCTCCGATCACTAGTCAGGGGTCTCTCTTGATGTTCAAATCCCAACTTGCATGGTTTCCATGCCACAGCCCTCGGAACCAGTGCTCTTGGAACTGGGAACCATCCAGGGAGCAACAAAAAATGGCCAAGCGAGTCGTCGACGTTGTTTCTAGCCGGCGTTCTGTATGGCTTCTGTGCTTCATGGGCTTTTCAAATAGAGAGCAGGACGCTGTGAGAGTGCACCTTTTTCTGACACTGACAATTTCAGCTTAACACATCTGCAATGACTGCGATTGTTATAAATTATCAAACATGGCTGAACAACATACAAAATGTACAAAACAAACAAACAGTGGCAAGGTAGTGAAAAACAAAGACCAGCAAATAGATTTGACAAACAGTGGTTGCAAAGGAATGAATGATATATATAGCCATTGCAACTGTGCCAAGCAAAAATTGCTAGCAACTTACGTAAATCTGAAAAAAAATAAAACACTCTGAATTTGGTCCCTTCTGGATATTTTCAAGTTGTACACTGGGATCCTCCCTGCTCGGGGAGGAAAGCGTTCTCTCCATCCACTCTCAAACCTGCCATGCTTTTGATGGGTGACCGGACTGGTGGCGCCGGAGCCGGTCACACGTCCAGTCGAGAGGCCGACGTCCTTCGGGCCCTTCTCCTCGGGCTTCTCCTAGGAGGCTGTCATTGGAGGAGCAGTTTCCTTCCAACACCTCTGAGACTCTACATCGGCTATATCCTAACAGGAACCGTGGATGAACACTGGGGGCCCTGCAACCAGGCCGACATCTCTAAATGAGTATATAAATGAGTGATGTTCTTGTTGACCGACTGTTGCAGCTTTACTGGGACAAACCCAACCTCTACACCTCTCTCTACGTCTCTGACGCGGTGCCAACGCTCCAAGGACGTCTCTTGTTCGTCCGTAGTGAAGGAGTCTCGACAGGAACTTTATGGAAAGTTGGTTGATGCCTCTCAATTATCAAGATTGTTATATAATATACTGATTGTGAACAACAAAAACCAAGATCTAAACTATCAAGACTCAAGACTGTTAATACATATGTATATATATATACATATACACATTAACATATTGTACTGTAAATATCTTTAAAAAGTATGAACGCACAACACACGCTGTCCGGAGTACCATCCTGATGAAAACCTGGTAGAATATTTTGCGGAAAAAAACACGTGGAGCATCGACAAAAATCCCGGACAAACACCTCATCGCGGCCCCCACTGGAATGACTTTGTTGAACTCGTTCAGGTTTGGATTCTGCATGGCGATGGATCTGTGGTGATAGTTCCCCCCGAATCGTATTTTCAGAGCCTTCCCCAGTCAGAAACAAAGCGATGCACACATGTTGCAAAGCAGAAACAACAACTTGAACAAATTTACAAGCCTTTGGGTGTTTCATGTGCTTGTCTTGTTGTGTGGTGCGTCCCGGTATCTCAGCATCATATGTCAACCCTGACAATTGGGAATGAAGAGGGGTAATCCCTGCACCCTTCCCGCGACCATCGCTTTAATCGCACTCCCAGACTGCTCTCTGGTGTTACGTATACTTCACACGCGAAAACTCGATCACGCGTCCTTGCTCAGAACTTCTCAAACTTGGTCAATTGCACCCAATAACCAAATAACACATCCCCAACTAACATCTTTAGGTCAAAGAACTCACATCCCCAACACCTCGATCTTCCCATGGGGCCCGGTCATTCTGAAAAACGCCCAGTCCCAAAGCGGTCTTATTCCCAAACACTCCATGGGACTGGTAAATATATATATGTGTGTGTGTGGTACCCCCCAAAATGTCTACCTCTTTTGGTTCTGATTGGTATTTACAGTGTGTTATGCATATTTTTGTGTATAAAAAATCTAACAAAAAAACAAGCACTTCCCAATTCAAAAAACAATAACAATTGAAAGGAAACACATAACACACATATCACGCATTTCGAGTATTTGATGTTTGGTTTTACCATTGCAGACGTTTGCGTTCAGGAAGTTTATGAATGCTCCTTCCACACTGTGCTCAGCACAAAATCCAGAAATAGCGTTTGCAAACGTTTGCAAACGTTATTTCTGGATTTTGTGCTCAGGATCACTGTGGAAGGAGCATTCATAAACTTCCTGAACGCAAACATCTGTAATGGTAAAACCAAACATCAGATGCTCAACAAATTCCACGTGCATGTGTTGTTTTTGGCAGTGTTCTAGTACAATAAACGTTAAAACAAAAACGCAATGTTTTTTTTGTTTTTTGGATTTCAACACCCAAAAAACAACAACAACACACAATGAAAACCAACAAAAGATTTTTTGAGGCTACCAAAAACTCTCCTCATTTTTTTTGATTTGTCAGTGTTTTGGTCCTTTGGGCGTTTACACAACCTGTATAAATTTATTGGAAGTTGATTTAGATTGTAATTGTAAGATAATCAAATTGTTCATTGAATCGTAAACTGTCTTCTATTTCCAATGGACTTGAAATTTAGATCTAGTTCAATTCTATTTTAGTTTTAAGTGTTATGCAATTTTAGCGTATTGCTTTAATCCCAAATTGAACTGAATGCATAAAACTACACATCTTAGTTAAGATTAGTTCTATTGAATTCAAATTCATTTATATATTGTTAAGTCTAACTTAGTTAAAATTTGGAATTTTAAATTTGAACTTGAACATGATTGAAATCAAAATTGAATCTAATTGATTTAACACTTAAGTTTAGTTTCAATCTCCTATTTGATTTTAATTCAATTAAAACTGAATTTGAATTCAATTCAAATCTACTTCTATTGCAAATGTCATTTTAACTGCAATGCTCATTCAGTAAGTGAATTCTAATCGAGCTGCAGGTTAAGCAATTCTATTTCAATTCTATCTTAATTCTAATCCTATTCTTTTTGACACAATGAAACTTAGATTAAATCTTAGTTTAATCAAACTTCTAATAATTTAAGTCTAATATGCTTCTAGTTTTTCTCGGAGTTAGTTCTAATCTAGTTTTATGTTGATTCAAATCTAGTTTTGTTTACATTTCAATTTATTTGTATTTATTGTTGGTTTCAGCTAGTTAGAATCTTATACAATTGAATTGAGTTGTTTACAAGTCTAGTTTAATTCTATTTCTATTTCCAATTTAGTTTTGATTGATTCTAATCTAATCTTTATTCGATTCTAGTTGAATGCCAGTTTATTATAATTCACTGCAAATTGAATTCTCATTTAACTATGACTTTATTCTAGAGAGAGGGCTCTGCTGTTGGTGTGATTTTAAGAAGACAACCTTTAAGAAAGCAACGCGTAATTGACATCCTGAATGACCTAGAACTAGAATCGAGTTCAAATTAAATCTAATTAAGCGAAATTAAACTGGTAATCAAAAAAAACACTGTAACTAGAATGTAAAACAACTAAAATTGCATTGTATGAGATTTAAGATAGCTGAAACTAACAAAAAGCATTGAACTAGAATCAAATTAAGATTAATATCGAATTTTTCAAACTTAAATTGGGAATCAACATATAATTAACTATATAAAGAGGTAGACATTTTTTGGAGTAGCACATATATATATATTTATATGCCTACATTGACCCCTGAAACCACCCCAATGTATACAAATATGCCATGCATATTTGTGTTTGGGATTGATTTGTCCATGGCTTTCCAAATCCTCGCGACCGATAACCAGCTGTCCCTCTAACCGTTTAACCTCCAAGATAAACATGGCCATGCTCTTAACGTCAAGAGCGCAACACATGGCCCAACGGACTGGCCCCTTGTGCCTGCCCTGTTTGGATGAACTTCCCATTCCTTCCCCACACGGCCCACGCGTTTGGGTCTCCGGAGGGCCTCGTCACTTGGCACACCTTCCTTGGAGGGCACACGTTCACGTGTCGAAGCGGAAGAAGCGTCCGCGTCGTAGGCCTCGGCGGATGGTGGGGTGACTTGGTGATCATGTGGTCAAAGGAGGAGGGTAGATGTCGGGCTATCTGACACTCAAACCACTTGCACTTGCGAGCTCTCTGCTTCTCACTCAAACTGAAGGGCTCTCTTCTTTTGCCATCCACCTGCACCTTTTGCTCCAATGAAGCTCAGCGACTCTAACCTCCCTACAGCCTCCTCTGAATCCAATCAGGCGGGCTTAGGACTTAGGACTTGAGCAAAAGAGCTTGCGAACACGTGGGCTTCTGGGAAAGAAGCAGTGGGACAAAAGCCGCCCTCCTCACGGATCCGCCCTCTGGGCCCCAGAAATTGGATCCCTCTTCACAACCGGGGGAGACACAGAACGCAATTTGTTCCATTTGCGATAGCCAAAGAATGTATCTTATCCGTGGCCGCTATGCCACCAATTCCGAATTAAGAGAGACACATTGAAAAAAAATAAGCGTAGTAGGTCTCGTCTGAGAACTCAGTCAGGCTACAGCTACCCACTTTTCCTTTTTTGACGTTCAACGGCCACAAACTACATCCATCATGGTGGGACCATACATTGATGACTCTAAGATACCCCAAACACTCCGGACTGGCATACCACCCCAACCCCAACTGGCAAAACGACCTGGCCGAGCCTCGAGGCCGAACACGCAGCATGCGCACCCCCACAATGCGCAAGGGTTTTGTTGTTCAACCCGCTTAAGGTGCAATCAACCCAAAGCAATGTTCACATTGTCCAGCTGTTGTTCACCCAGCAGCCACAGGAAGAGGAGTACTAAAATTCCCTGCATGTTCAACGAGGGACTGGCGAAATACTGACAGGCTTGGACAGGTGTCTTCTTCGCTTTTGATCTTCAATGCTTGAATAACATTCAACTCACTCCGCAGTTCGCCCTCTAAGGAATGGCTCATAAAATGTCTTGGGACTCCCTCCCAAAGACTCCCGCATTTGAATATTGCTTTGCTCATCCAAACATGCAAAAACGAGACTTGAGTGACTTGAGCCTTTTTTGTCGATGTTGTTTGTAAGTGTGTATTGATGCATTTACTGTTTTTTTTGCTTTGGGACTTTGGGTATTCAAAGATTTGCCCATCCTCCAAGTCATCCCTCCCCCCAACCTACGCCCAGCTGCTGCTTTCTTGGCCCTGAAAGGGTTCCGTCCAAAGAAGGCTCTCAGGAGCAATGGCCCGATCACGGGCACCCGTGCCACGCGCGCTGGCCCAGCGATGGATAAGAACAGAACGATGGGGTTCACCACAAAGATGTATGTGAGTTCCTCATGGGACCGACCCCACCACAACTCTCTCGCTCTCTCACTCTCTATCATTCGCTTTGTATATATATATATATTATACATATATATATATATAATATGATATGATATGATACGTAGAAATCACAAACTTGACATTACCAGATAGTTATAAACGAAAACTAGAATATACATACTGTCGTATCAAACATCACGTGGTTTAACATGTTTTAACCACCTGGACTGAGGGACCACGACTCCAAAACCCGTTTGGGCCTCAGGGACATGCTCCGTGGAGGTCGTTTCGTTTCGGCGGGGGACCGACCTGGCAGCCCCCCCTTCACCTTCTCAGTCCAAGAAAACTTATAGATCGACTCAGGTCCTGAGTATAGGTTGCGCTTACCAACAAGGCTCTGAACAAGGATCCTGAAGCTACATTACATACCTTGCAACATGTGATCCGAGGCACTTCCAGTGCCCCACCCATGTGATCCGGGCGCAGCCGAGGAACATACGTGAAGCCTTCCCATAGGCCGATAAATGTAGAAAAGACCTTGGAGATAGAACATGATGGAAAGACATCAATCAAGTGGTGCAAAACTTCCAAGGACAAATGCTTAGAATCGAGTTAAATTCGACGCTGGCCGTATGTTTCTACGGTATGTGCCTTCTGCCACAAAAGAAAGGGAGGGCGTTCTAAACTGTGGATGAGTTTACCTCATGTTTGGATTGAACCAACAAATGCAAACCAAACATGGCACATTATATGTACTTATACAACTTATACCGACTTAAGTCTGCAAAAAGCCACCATTTCGCAAACCTGGCAGGGAGGGTCCTGGTATACAGCAAATGCAAACAGCACATGGCAAAGAAGCGATATGTCTATATGATATTTGTATATAATCCCAAAAAATATGGTAATCTATATATCTTAGCATGGCACAACATATATCACAATATTTTGTTGTCGAACACAATGGTCCGCCATTGGGCTCTCTTGGTAGGTGCAGTAGAACTTCCCCATGAAGGAGTAAAGTGTTTGAACTTCCCTCTTCACACTCAGAAAAAAACGCTCATGGCGTAGAGGAAAGTGCTTGAACCAACGGCCGTGTTCCATGGATGCGAAGTAAGTAAGCTTAAGTGTCAGTGAACCTGGCCCAAGTCATGTCAGATTTATGTTGATGTTTTTCTGGAAAAAACATCACCTGGCTCCTGAAAAAGCCGAAGGGTTCCCTCGCATAAGAAGGATGGGTCCGTTGAAGCAACAACCCTCAACAAAAAGGCCTGCAAAGAGTCAGAGAGAACATCTGCCTAAAAAACATAAAACACAACACATCGACTATAGGCTATAGGTCCCAGAAACGAAGGGCAAAATCAGAACTTCCGTCTTCTCCGCGAAGGCTTTCCGCTCCGTGGGCATCCAAATGAAAAGCCCCAAGAAGGTGATGGTCTCCAGCGCGGCGAGGACAAACCTGGCCGCTGGTTTGGCGGTTGTCAAACCCTGAAGCGGCACCCAGCTGTTGATTGGTGGCACATCTAAAATTATAATATTGGCTTGCAAAAAGTTCAGACAAAGACCCAAACAACAGCCAAGGTTGGCTGTTTCATGTTGGAAAACCTTGACGCAGTAGCTGAAGGAGTTGCCCTTGTGGCTAGAGCACAATGAAACTGTGAGCATCAATGATCAGTAGAGGCTATAGTTGTATATACAACCATCCTGTAGTAGCTATATAGAGAATATGAACAAAGCAAGGACTCCATCTACCTGCTCCAGCATGTCCTTTCAACCTATGCGCAGAGCGCGCTCCGGTGCCCCACGACGCCGGCGTCTGCACCCCGCGCCCCGGCTCGCGGAGGTCAGCGCCAAGTGCGACAGCAACACGAGTGGAAACAAACAGGATCCTTCCTTTTTGGGGCAACTGCGAGGCTACAGCATATTATATATATATTTTGTTTTAATGTTGTAAGCATCTGTTGTATAGATATATATCTATATATGTTTTTGTATTTATAAAATGACAAGATAAATAGATAGATGTTCAGTCATACGATGGTTTTAAGGATCTGAAAGACGCATTTACATCATTTCACAGTTTTTGTACGGGGTCTCTCTCTCTATACATACCACTCTGAGATTTGTTCTCCAAGATGATAGGCACAAAGAAAGGTAAGAAGGGATAGCTCGCATAGCTGTTCAATAGGTCCCCGTGCAATTCAGCCCTTAGTGTATGCGAACTCTTCCTCTTCCTCCCAGAATCACCGACCACACTGCCTGGGGGGGGGGGGACGATTTCACCGCACCCGCGCATCATCCCGAACCCGAAGAGGGAGACCCTCCGCGCTTTCTCGCTCCGGGAGGCATGGTGTATCTCAAAGGTGCAGCAGCCACGGAGGCCTGATGGCTGTAGACCTGGATTGAGAGGGAGTTTCCAGCGCGGTGAGCCCGCCGATGAAGCGCTTCGCGGCGAGCGAAGTGTAGATGAGCATAGACAAATGGATCGATCTGTTTGAACGAACTAGGCTTGGGCCATGCTAGTTAGAAGCACCTACTTTCGCTAGTCCAATCTCAAGATACAGCATTTATGTTTAGTATATTAAACCAGCCATATATAAGCTAATAATAATATATTAAATACATTAAATATATATATATATATGTAATGTACATATGAATTACAATATAGAGTACACATATCATATCATAATATATCAATTGATCGCGCGAAACTACTTTGTCATCCTTCGAGACTCCAGCCTGGGCTGTCTTATGTGTTGCCCCTGTGGGGAACAAACACACAACGAGTTCTCGGTTTCGGCATCTTTTTGCTGGGTCTACTTGACTGACTACTTGTTGCCGGCGTCATCGTTGATTCGGACGTGTCACGTTTGGCTTGGTGCCGGCCGGCCTCAAGGACACGGCCAAGCCAAATCTGATTTGGATTGATAATCCACCAGCAAAGGCTAAGCGCGAACATCGACCGACTCCAAGTGGAAATATCCCCTAAAGACCTGGGCTCGGATCTAGCAGGCATTCCAAATGGTGGGGCATCATCCGCTTAAACCTTGAAATTGTCGTACTTCAGGTGGGAACATCTTTGGAGCTGAACATAGGTGTACTGACAAGATCTTTGCTTACACGGGCTCAACGCAACATGATCACCCTGTTGAGTGGCTGGATGTTTGTGATTTTCCGGCTGCTGCCTCTCAGGCAGCAGTAAACGCAGGTATGCAGATGTCCGGCTGAAACAAGAAGTTGACACTAGAGTGAACATGGAAAGTTGTATGATCTACTTTGTAGATTCAATTCGGCACTCAAAAATGCTTTCAATAGCTTTCAATAGTGCTCCACGTGAGCTTATATACACATGATCAGGAAAAACAACATCTTGGGAAACATGATTGAACGTTTTTGTGTGATAGATTCTTGTGCTGGGTGTGCTTATATGGGTGATGCTTTATGCTGCCTTCCAAGCCAAACATCTACATAGTTCACCCATAAATTTCTTGCTTGCTAGCAAGAACACCCACTAGATCATCCAACCAGTACTTCAATGGCTTGATTAACCAACTGTTCAAGACATCCTACACCACCTGCATCGGGGAATTTTCAAAGCAATGTAGATTGCGGTCTTTCCACTATCTGGATAGAACTAGAGTCTCCCCCTTGGAAAACGCACTTCTAAAGTATATATACTACCGACCGGTGACTTAGGACTTGTGTGGGCCAGTGACATAGTAGTTGTGGCCCACTACTCCTAAGTCATTGGGAACACAAAAATTGCAGAGTTGCTGATTCAAGCCTCATGACTTGGGAATTGTCGCCAGCTGATGATCAAGCATTTTATTTATTTTTCAGGGAGGGAGGGGAATTGATGCACACAGAACAAATGACATAAGAATCGGCCTGCTCATCATGTTTCATCATGCCTCCTGGTACTTACACCTCCTATCTCACGTCATTTATTCATCTTTTCCGGCAGCTTTCTGTTTTTTTTAAGCTATTCTTGTGTGACAATGTGTTGATGTGTTTCTCTACTTTAAAGTCCATGACATAGGAGTTGTGTACATTGCTCAAAAATGCTTTAAGACCCATGACAAAGGAGTTGTAAAACCCACCATACGTTTTACAACTCCTTTGTCACTAGTCGAGAGTATATATATATATATAGAAGTTTCTAGCTCCCCCCAAAATGCCGCACCGAACACATCAACATCTCTGATTTCGCCCCTTCCGGAGCACAGTTCCACATAGTTCCACCAAGCAGCCCTGCTTTCGTCATGACCTTGCGAAGCTCCGGTACTGAGAGATTCCTCGTCCAAACGGCGCGGTGTGGAGGCCGAAGGTCTGGTGGGTGCGGCACCAAGCCATAGGTTGAACAGTTCTCGGTCTCTCAAGGTGTTTTCTCGGGGGCTTAAGGCTTGGGGCTTCAATTCCAATTCAAGTTATGTGATTCCATCTGATTCTTCGCAAGAAAGTCGGTGCGCAGACCTGATTGGCAAGAATGGCAGGACCGTTCCGCGAAAAGCGGAGGAACGCTTCGGCCAGTGAATCACTATACTCATGTCTGTACCATCTGGAGCTCCTGGCAACATGGATTTGGACACTTGGGCAGCACGTGGGGTACGGTACGTACAGCAGCCCGTCTTGTACGTCGTTTTTGCCGAGGTTCATGTCCAGCAGCACGGCCACTGCATCATTCACAGCAGTCTCCTGACCCTCCCTTTCAATCTCCGAAAGGATGCGATCCTTGGCGGATCGAATGATCGTCAGGATCTACCAACAAAGGTCAGCCATGACCTGACTAGATGCCAACCCAGGAGCCTGTTGGTAGATCTAGGGCAACTTCTAGGGCATTATAAGGTCACTTACAAGGTGCCTGATTGGTATCAGGAGCCTACAGGGGGTACCTATTTATATATAGTATAGTCTCAATAGGGTTCTTCAACCTCTGCTGGTAGGTCGACCAATGCTGGCCTCCGCCTCGTGATCACACCGGTCGGATGTCCCGAAGCAGCGAGAATGGAACACGAATGGACTGAGTCCCATGCGAAAAAATCGGGAATTCGAGTCATGGACGAGCGCAGATTCTGTGGAAATCCACAGATCTGTGATCTGTCCAACAAACATCCCAGATGTCCCATGTCGGACGTCGTTCGCCTCTGCTGGACGCCGTTCCCAGGCACTCGGTCCGCTTGGTTGGCGCTCTGCGCATGTTCGATGCCACGGAAGCCCTCCTTGAGCTGCTTGGACTGGCGCAAGCCTTCCACGGCCAAGAGCCGGTCCGCTTCCAGCCCCGCGCAAATGAAGGAGGCCAAAACGAACAAAAGGACGTTGTTGGACCTGGTCAGAGATGGTCAGAATCGGTGCTGAAGCATGGTGGACCAACAAGTCATGATTGTCAATCCAACACTCTTCATCCGACGGGGTTCAAGCATGTTCAGAACCCCGTCTTGATGGAATGACATAATGCGGGACTCAAAATGTGCCGGACGACCATGGCAAACGACCATGACAAAAACTACGGAGGCACAATGCCGGTGAGAATCGTATCCTTTACAACGCGAAACAAACACACAATCTTCAAGTACAACATAGGTACTTGCAAGGAGACAAAACAAAAATCAACGTCTAAACAACTCCAGCAATGGGGTACACTCTTTCATATTCTTTCATTATGTTTCATCTGTCTGTGTGCACGCAGAACGTTGTGTTTTGTTTGTGCAGCAAACGGTTTGTGGCTCCCTTCGTGCGTGAACATGGCGACAGCCAAGACGACCGTAAAGCCTTTCTTTCACCGTGCTGGTGCTTTGGGACACACACCGCTCGCAGATTTGCCTTTGGACAAAACAAACATCGTCAAAACATGATCTGCTTTGCCAAGCTGGAGCTCTTCAATACCACAGCCACTCGTTTTCAACACGTGCACAAAACATCTGAGTCCGGCCCATGCGATGTCCGGCAAATCTTACTCACCAAAAGGAATGCCGCGACGATCTTGCGGTGATGAGAAACTGGATCAGCGGAGCGCACGTTTAGGACCTGCAACATGACAAACCAACAACCGTTATGCCGTTGACACCGTTATGGCTATTTTTGGAGCCAACTGGCCTATTTATTAGGCCCAGGCCAACACCAAGTGTACCTGGGGTGTGTTGAGTACTTGAGAGAGAACCCCCCAAAAAAATGTTCTTGCCTGCACAACAAGGTCGAGCGAGGGACCAAGGTCCAAAAACAAGGACGTCAAATGATTGGAACTCATCTGCGCCTGCACCCCTTAACAAGTCCCCCAGGTGACAACGAGGCACCAGCTGAACTGGCCGAAACCGAAACCCACCAAATCGTACCACCCAAATCCACCTTTAGAAAAATGTCCTACAAATCTTATCACATCTTCAGGTGCATTGGCATCATGGGCTGGGTCAAAGCAAAACCGACTCTTTCACGGCAGTCCCTCCTTCAAATCGGACCGGCCTCTTGTAGGTCTTCCGGTATGCATCACTGGCCCGGTACACCGCAAACGCCAAACTGAAGAGGTAGATTGAAGCTTGAAGCAATTTGCTTGTGTACCTCACTGGGAAGCCTACAGAATCCTGCAGACGTTAGACCTTCGAACATTCCTCGTTTCACGGTTCCCTTGACTTCCTGTGCTGCCTTTGTCAAGGGGATTCACATTTAGGTCTTAAAGGCTGTTTACAAGCCAAAGCGGGAGGACTGAGACTCACAACCGACATTTGTGTTTTTCACCAGTCTTATCTTTTGCCGAACAATTTTGCAACTTGACCGCAAAACTCACAAGTTGAAAAGTGTCTGAACTCAGCGAGATGCCGATGGGTCTTAAAGAGGATGGTCATGACGATTAAGTCCAGCAAGCCCAGGATCGTCGCAACTCGTCCCATCCTGGGAGGGAAGACGTCGACCATTCTTCTTCCGACTTTTGAGTCCCAAAGACGTCGATCCGGGTGACCAACAATTAGACCAAAGGACGCGAGTTCGAACGACCACGTTGCAAACAGAAAGCGATGTGCACCCCGACCCCACTGCCGCCGAAAAACGCTTCCACCTGGGCCTCCTCTCGTCCGTCCGAGCATCAGTTGCACTGCGTCGTTGGCGAACGGAGGATAGGTACTGACGATGAGCACGGCGAGCCCGCTGCTGATGGCAGATGCCGAGATCATACGTGAGAGCTTCAACCAAAAAGCCGGCACTGGAGCCCTTGCAGTGTAGATGGGCTTGTTCCATGTATAAGCCAAGAAGGCTTCATAGACACACCTGAGCGGCTCTCAAGACCAGTGGCATCTGCCGATCCGATGTAATTAATTTATATTTGTCTTACGCATCTTCTTACATTACCACCAATGGCAGCTTGCGCGTGCAGTTCTTGCCAGGAGGGGCTTCTGCAACACTTAATGCCAAGGAATTTTAGCATCAAACCACGCGCCATGCGCAGGCAGAACACGCACCGCATTTCCAGCAAAGATAATTAAGTCTCAGGAAAGGATTGGCACTTGGCAAACACCGAGTCCATCTGGAGTCCATCTGCGATCTGCGATCTGGCTGAGCAGTGAGCAGCAAAGAAGAATTCATACCTGGATGGTTTGGGGCAGTGCATGGCATTTGGCGCCATTGTGCAGAATTGGTTTGGAGGCCATACGTGGGCTGCCTGGCAGCAAGCCAGAGAGGCTCCGCCGCGGGGCTACGCGATTCCCGACATCAACACCCTTTGCTTTCTGATTGGTTGGTCTATGGTTCTTCAGTACATCTTCGGATGTTCAAGCAGCTTAGCCAGAAAAGACACCCTACGCATGTTTCAATAGTGTATGAATTTGTCCGTTTTTTGTGTGACATGACATGTGTGGCTGAAACTTGGCCCAAAACGCAAAAAAAAACTCAGCTCCCATCAGCTCTCACCAAAAGCAGCTTACGTAAAAAAGACACAACCCCTTTCGACACCTGAACCGTTTTCATGCGGTGGGAGGGAGTGCTTTTCACCGGTCCGACGGCGTCTCTTTGGTCCGACGGCATCGTGTGCGGGTCCGCCGCTGACATCTGGAGGATGGGTTGACCAAGCACACGAAGCCACTCAATCTTGACCGAACACATGATGTCTCTGGATGTTTCGGGTCTGCGCAGTCTGAAACTGCTGGGCTGGGGGTTAGTCACTCCCAAAGGACCGGTCTGGAGTGGTCTGAATCTGATGATCCCACGTGAGCTTTGCAAAGTAACTGGAAGGTCTGGAAGGGAATCTCCAGCTTTATGCCTTGTATGGCAACCAACATCTTCAGTTTCAGGTGAACCTACCCTCTGGTCTACAGGAGCCAACCCTAGTTCCGCCAACGCCACCTCAAACCACCGGTGGCAAACCCCTGCTTGTTGTGGCAAGATGTCTTCGGAATGGCGTCCGTCCTCCGTCGCATGTTGTGGCTCCGATGTGGTGCACCTCCGATGCATGTTGTACCCACAAACCTTCCCTAGGATCCAGTCGTACCTTCTCAAGTACGGCGATGTGTTCGACAGTGTGATGTAGGTGACAGGAGGGTCCAGTCGTACCTTCTCAGAGAGTATGTGGATCCCTAGGGCTAACGTCCACGGTGTTCTCGGTCATCGGTCGCTTGTTGAGAAAGACGGCGTGAACTTATAAGTGCAAATCATCACTCTTTGCAATGTCCGTCTAGGGGATTCAAACATGACTGCTACATGTTAAATGCATGATACCCCTAAACATGAGGGGAAACAGCACTGGTTCCCAGCATCTACCCCCCACTTCGACAGACAATCATCCTCATTCTGACATGTTCCAACGAGCAATCCAACGCGGAGGAACAAGGCCAGGCCATCGCCGGTTTCACGAGGTCACACACGAAATTAAAACTTACAGGCACGGACAAAGGCTGGTCCTATCCGGGCCCAGTGGCAAAACGGTTCTTGTTTGTTTGGACTTTTGACTGAGTTGGAACTTTACCCCGTGAAAATGCTCCCAAGTGGGTTCCACGGAAAATCCATGCGAGGATGTCGGCCAAAACCCCTTGTGTTCCAAGCGGCCAAATGCGCGTGTAGATGGAACCCTTGGAATTTGGGATCACCAGCATCTGCTTGGACTGGCCCAAGCTCTTGGCAAAGGGCGAATCCTGTGGGTTTGCAATCAAAGATCCGATGTCCAGGTTCCTAGCGAGCACGGTCACGGACCACCCTCACCGTCAAGAAGATTCAAGAAGTGTAGAAAATTCAATTAGACAGTATGCCAGTACCAGAATCAATAGACATAGCCTGACGAAAAAAAGTATCTTAAATATTTCCTTACATCCCGCACAACATTGACCCTGAGGTGAGGTTGCCAGAAAAAATGTGTTGCATCTCGACCTCAACTCTTTGCCGTTCACAACATGCTCCAGAAGTTGATTCTGTGCGATCCATGGATGGTGGCAAAGTATATATGGTCTACATAAGGAACGTGTCACTTGCGAGTCTTTTTGTCTGAGATATCATTGAATGATTGCACAACATCATGAATGTCAAGCTGTTTCTGTCCGTTCGTGCAAAGTGTGTGCAAATGCTGTGTTTGGGCCTCTGGGTAATCTTATTTAGGAGATGCAAAGAAGTTGCTATGTCTACAGTGGGGGGGGGGGCAAATACATTATTTCAGCAAAATGAAGGTTGCTTTGACCAAATATCTGTTAATCTTTGTTATGTTTCTTGCTGATCTTTCCTTCGGACTTTTTTTGGATGCCGTACCTCGGAACGCTGTGCCGGTCGATCACAAAGATTTGCCTACAAGTCCAGTCTGACCCAGTAAAACCTGGTTTTGAAAACCTCCTTGAGTAGCGTTTTTGTATGACCAACTCCAATAAAAATGCAGTTTTTGACCGGGAAAACCATATATTCAAACACTGGCAAGGACGGACTTGGGGAACTTCTCAACTTGCCCAAACGCCCAAGTCTACCAGGCTCGAAGAACCTGGACTTCCCCAAACGCCCGCGCAGGGTCACGGCGATGCGGGCCGAGGGTCTGCGGATTGGACAGAAAGCACACGTAGGCACCTCGAACTCGCATCCGCAAAGCGCTGGGAGGGAAGAAACCGAGCTTCTGATCTGAAACCGCTGTAAAAATCACCGATGTTGACCGGCTCAAGGGCTGTTGTGCAGGACCGGGAGAACTAACCTCTTCCTTCAATCCTGTTCATACACCACACCAAAAGTCACTCCACTGCTGTGTATTATATAGGAGATGTTGTTTTCTGACTTGGCTCAAGTGTAAGTATACAGGTCAGCTAATCTAGAACAAAATCACTCTAAGATTTACATAGATTTACGGATCAAAACATGCAACATCCGCAGCTACGTCCCTGCCACCTCCCCTTTCCGATCCTCCCTCTGCGAGTCCAAAGCATCTCGCCTCGCGCGCCAGTGGGCCAACTACTGATGACCTTGTCGATGAACTCAAAGACCTGATCATCCACAAGACCTGTACTCCCCGAGCTCTCCGGTTTCTTTTTCTCCGGAAGTCCGAACGGTGATCCGAACGGCCACCGCCTGTGCTGGTTTTTGGATGGGGTGTCTGATCTGCCTGATCCATACAAGCAAAGGTAGGGGCAGGTGATCCAAATACCTCCTGATCCGCTGTCAGGGACTGTTGTTGCCGCGAAAGGAGGGTTTCGACAGGGTTTACTTCTGAAGCCCCCCCAAAACCCAGGGAGCGGAGGTCGAAAGGTGCCTGTGCCAACGATGTAAGGTGCTGGCACTGGAGAAAAGGTGCTTTCTTTGATATTTTGGGCTGTACTTTGGACCAGCTGGTCACCCAAAACAAGAAGTAACGGAGAACGGGGATCAAACAGCAGGAATGGTTCGACGAACCCTTCGCTGATCCCGACGGGATGAATTAGCTGAGGCCCCAGCTCCAGGAACACCCCAGTGCATGGCATGGCCCTCATGCAGCAACGAAACACCTGAATGCATTAGGGGAGGGCCCTTTTCCTTCGGCTTGGTCTGGACACTCAGCTGAGGACACTGAGGCTCACGACTGTAGGACGTCTTCCGCTTTGGCACTGAGGCCCAACAAATGCAGAAGCCAAAAGTAACCCTTCGAACAAGGGCATCCGCTCCCAGTCTCTATCCACACGGTGCCCAGTCTCCACCCGTCGAACGCCAAGAAACACCCTCGGCCCAGCCATGTGTGATGAAAAGGTCACATTCCACGCCGTCGGGATGCCTCGTTGGGTAGCAGATGGGCAAGAATATGTTCCATACACAGAAGGGATCTCAATAAAGAGACGGGCTTGAAAGGTCATATATGCACACGTGTCCCCAGAGGCCAATCGAATCCCCCAATGGCTGGAGCAACATGGACATTAATGCCATGTCCCGGAGGCAAAGCATATCCAACAACAGGCCTTTGGAAGAAAGCGCTCCAAGGCCTCCATTTGTTGGAACATCTAGATGACATTGTGAACTGGTTCTGAGGTTCTATACATATATAGTGTTGTGGCTGACCAACTTGGCAGCAAAAGCATGCAAAAGCTGTAGAACATCACCTACAGCAACTAGGGTCTAGGTGGTGAGAAACCACGATTTGTCATGAGTTGGGGTCCTTCTCAAACGAGGCCATTGGGTTTCTCAGCAAACGTCACACGCATCACATGTCGCGGGCCAATGGCCCAGGTACTTCATCAGGGACCAGGAAACGTCACCGGCTGCCTGTGTGGTGGGCTTGATGAATTGCCTCAGGCACTCGCGCACGGGGGGAGGCTGTTCCTGACAGCCTGACAGGCGCTTCCTGTAGTATCCCTAGCTTTCAAAGACAACAAAATCAAGGATGGTACCTGGTGTTGTATTTGGTCTAAAATCTTAGCAATTAAGACAGGCTGACTGAAAGAATTCAATGAATCCATCGAAGCATCAGGACGTGCCAGGACGCCCAAGTAGGGTGAAAGATGTTCCACATCCAGAGTTGGATGGGACTGGGAGACGAGGGTGACGACCCTGTCGGACGAATGAAGTGGTGAAACCCAGATCCAAACCACCGAACCTTCCCGGGAAAGAAAGGCCATCGTGAAACCATTCCCAGACACGACCGATGTCTGTCACATACGCCACCCCATTGACCCCTTTTCAACCACCCCAATCTATAGGTAAATATATATATACCATACATATAGTCTATAGTCATATAGTACCATGTGAATGAGTGAATATACCATACTTGGAGTGTTTGGGATTCGTTCTTCACTCTACCACACCTTCGTGCACC